TTGCAAGCTGAAATGTACACAGTGAGTTATAAGTATCTTTCTTTATCAGGTCTCACTTTCAAATCTGAGAAAGGCTGGACCAGAGCTGTTGAGATGGGATGTTCACCCTTTCAGTATGCATAAAAGAGCCTCCCTACCAAAATGTGCATTAGAACAGGTAAAAGAGGAGTTTCTTATTTCATTGTTCCTGTTGCAATGATGGCATAATGGGTTGTCAATCTTCATTCATCTTTTTGTGCTCATGTTCTTATTTATTTTTTTATTTATCATCTCTTATTGACCCTTCTTTGAAACAGCTGAAAGATTCAATTTTGGAGGAAACTCCTGTCCTTGATGGTGATGAAAATACACCTACATGGAGGCTTGATGATAGTGATGATGAAAATGGTAATCGAGAGGATAACTTGATTCCTCAAACTCATGAACATGATAATGAAGTGTTGCAAGATGGGTTGCTTGAAAGAAATTTAATCCCCATTAAGAGGTGTAAAAGTGACTTGGTTGCTGGAAATTTAGTGGGACTAGTCAGTTGTAACCAGGATGGTATGCATAATGATTTTCCGGTAAATGCAAAGAAGTGCAAGCAGGATGCCACTTGTACTATTCAGTCTGTTGAAAAGATTCCAATTCCCTTGCATGGTGATGAGCAGTTGGATGAGTCTGGAAAGATAATAAAAGTTACTGAAATAGAAGGTCATAACTTGAGAAAGGATTCTCAAGCAGGTGAGGGTGATCAAGATGTGCTTGTGGTCTCAAGGACAGTTGGGCAGAGTGATGCTGTTGGTCATGTAGAATTGCAGGACAATCAGATGGAGAATGCTCAAAATGCAGATAAAATGGGTGAGCAAAAATATGGATATAGGCCTTCCCAAAATGTTGTGATGGATGAATCCAATCATGTTGAAAATGGTGTGCTGGAAAAGAGTCCTGGTGGTGATGCTAGTGAAAATTTCGATCAAGGTTTTCCATTATATTCCCTGAATTCGACCTCTGCTGATGGATTGCAGCAAAATATTGAACCTGATGAGGCCAAAGCTGACATGGAGCATCCTTGTGCGGAACAAATGTGTGAATATGTGGATGAGAGGTTTAATATTGCCTTGAATAAGAGTCTTTTCTTGAGTTCACAGTGCATGGCAAGTCAAGATCCTCTAGGGAAATCTGGCTGGACAGAACAAAATTTTTGTGTAAAGTGTAACAAAAATGGACACATGTTGGTCTGCAGTTCTAGTGGTTGCCCACTTGTGGTTCATGAGAGCTGTTTGGGTTCCCCTGCTAGATTTGATGATAAAGGTAACTTTTATTGCCCGTTCTGTGCATGTTCTGTTTCCATCATGAAGTATTTAGAAGCTAAGGACAAGACCTCCTTGGCAAGGAAGGAGCTAGATGCATTTTTGGAGCATTGTTCAAAAAACCTTACTGAGCAACAGTGGAAGCTTAAGAGTCATCTAAGTTTGAATGTAGATGAGGACCCTGTTGGAATTCAGATGAATGGAAATCTGGGAGAGAGGAAACACAAATTCATTAGTCAAAAAAGGGAAGTTAAATGTGGACCTTCTGCATCATGTCTACATGGTAACAAACTGTGTGTGGAAGAGAAGTTTATGCATGGGGCAGTAAGTGTTCAAGGTGCAAAAAATGAAGAGCAAGAAAAATTGGTCCATGGGCAACGATCCATGAGAGAGCATGAACACCAACAGGACCAACTACCAGATAACTGTAAGTGCAGTAATGATAATCCAGCTGGTGAAAACACTAAAACCATCCTGGCAAATCAGGTAGAAGTTGGAGGAAAAATTGTGAAGGAAGCTGTACAGCCTCAGATTACTAATCCACCTCAGAAGCCTGTCTGTGCTTCCAACAGTGATGGAGAAGAATCTTCTACTGCTGCAAACGATAAGTTTATAATATCTAGTTACTCCACAAGGTTGAGAAAACGTGAGACAAAGTGGTAAGTTCCCTTCATGTAAATTGATATTCTTGTTATTCCTGTAACATTAATGCCATATTTAAGCTCAAATATTTTGATTTGACATTGTAAAGCATCTTTTTAAAATCTCTAACATGCTTTGGCCATCAATTTTATTCCTTTTGTGGAACATGAATAGTTGTTCTGGAAGAAATGAGGGAGCCTTTGATTTCATTGATATTTAAATTTAATGTAATTCTTATTTGCAGCACATTCCCTCCAATTCCACAGTTGAGGAGGAAGAAACTTCCATGGACAAAAGATGAGGAAGAGATGCTCAGTGTAATTATTCTGTCATAAATGACTTGTAGAAGTTATATAAATTATAAATCATCTTCTTGTCTAATCCTTGTGTTTGGAATTTTGGTTTCAGAAATGTGCTTCCTGAATGTTTATTTTCTATATGCCTCCAGTATCATATGGGCCTGATGAAGATTTTATGAATCCAGCAGGCTCAATATTAACATGTAGATTTTCCGAGCCTGTGGCTTTTAATCTGTGACTCATGATTTCTGGAACGAATTGCTTCTTGTTTCATATCTTTCCTCTCAAATTATAGTTTTTCTAAGATTTTAGCTGGCTATGAATTTCATTTTCCTACAGTTCTTGAAAAAATTGCTGCTATATTTTCAGAGGGAAGTTGAGAAATATGCGAGTCATGGTGGAACTGTTCCATGGAAGAAGATTTTGGACATGGGTACTTCTGTTTTTCTGAGTGGTAGGACTACGGTAGACCTCAAAGATAAATGGAGAAACATGTGCAAAGGTAGGCTCTAGATGTAAATGAAGTGATGTAACAGGCTCACGGCCCAATGGTTTTGCATATGGAGTTAGGTCGTTTTGTTTTGCTCTGCTTCCTGAAGCTTATCTTCTCGGTTAAGGTATCTCTCTCTGTATCAGTTTGAAGGAAGGAGCTGGGTGTTGGGCTTCCTAGTATTGTTGTAATCATATACCGTATTAAGGCAAGTGTATAGCAGTAGTTAGCAAGTTGGGAGTGGCGGGTTTTCCCCTCCTTTTTGTTTTTGTCCATGTGATATGCCTGTTTGTCTTTGGTGGAAGCTAATATTTTGAATGATGTTTGTATATATATTGTTAATAGTAAGCTACATATATTGTTAATAGTAAGCTAGTTTCCATTAACCTTTGCTGTTTTATCTTTGGTGGTTGTTGGGTAGTGGTTCTTAATGCTTATTTTTAAGCTTATATGTGGTTGGCATGTATTTAAGACCAATGTAAAAAGCAAGAGAATATTGGCAATCGACGAATAAAATTAAAATAAAAAAAAAAAGGGATTTGCATATGGTAACCAGGATATTAATTGGGTAACGCCATTTTTTTTTTTAATTCTTCAACAGATTAATACATTGAAGCTATCAAATTTCATCAACAATGTTTTATTCATCCTGGCTCTTGAGCTTGTGGTTAGCACAAGATTTCATGCATGCATAAGATAATTAAGCAACCTTTGATGTATCCACATGTAATGTCAAAAACCAATAATTATTTAATTTGGAACCCTTTGTAATAAGAGTGATGATAATGTTATGCCATCATCACCATCCATGTGCGTCGGCCAGATTCCTTCATATGCATGCAGCCACTAGCATACAAGTAACAATACCAATTCAACACGTGAGATGGGTTAGGAATAAGAACATCTTGGCAGAGAGAGGAAGGGAGGGAAGCAAGGCATGGGAAAAAGGTGAAGGGAGTCCCGGGAATCAGGTCGTGGATGGCAGGAAACAACATGTGAAAAATAGTGGTGCTCGTGAAAGTGAAAAATGTTGTGAGGTGGGTTTCCTCCATGGTAAAATTCAATTCATGTTTACATCTCACTACTAGAATCCGAGGGAGATTGCCAAACCAAAAACACTACTCACAGCATTTACTGCCCTTTATATTACTCCAAACAATAAAGCAGCTTTAGATTAAAAAAGACCATTTTTCTAGTCACCACCACGACAGTTTTAATGCATTCTTATCACATTTTCACTTTCTTGGTGGCAAGCTTACCCATATTTTGTCTGGCTGTTCACAGTGTTTGCCACAAGATGCAGAATGTTTGCTTACTGTTTCAAGCTATAGGGCATTAAGGGAGGAAGCAGAGGAGGAGTTACTACTATTATCACCACTATTGTTTTAACCTCTCTTTTTTTTTCGGTTAAGGAGACAATAAGTTCCCTATTTCAGTAACTTTCAATGTAATTTTCTTATGAATTGTAATGATGCAACTTTTAATTATATAAACTAAACTGACTCAAATCCATACATTTCATTGTACCCAAATAAAAAGAAATTGTATTTGATAAGATTACATGGAATATCAAGCTAGTTCTTTGTGGATAATTTAGTTAGAAGTAGTACTGAGACTGACTCTTTCGATGTTGATTCTCTAACCCTTGTGCTGTACAGACTTTTGCATTTAGATTGCAAAATGAGCTTCAAAGAAAAATGATTTCTTCTTCAGGGGTAGGGGATGAAATTGACAATGCTAATGACCCAACAAATGTTATGTTAACAGTACACTCAGAAAAATTTATTAGACATTCGTTTTGTCGGATTTTTAATTATTTTTTAAATGATAAAAAAAAAATTTGAATTTAATTTGTTGAATAAAAGATATATATATTTATCATTGAATCAAATACTCTTTTTTGTTAATCACGATTGAATATTATAAAGATTTATTCTTTATTATAACTATGATAGTCATCGATCTATCCATAATTAAAGAATGGTGCATTTTTTGGACATGGAAATGGCACATCCATGTTACTACTACTTGAAAAGATTTGATTATAATAAAAACCATTGGATTTGAAAATAATCCGATTAACACTAAGTAACGGTCACATGGACATGGGCATGAAGGCTTTGCATGGAACGTGAAAACATTTAAACCAAACTACACTTCAACTCCCTACATATCCCGCGCCTTTCTACCCACTTCTCTTCACTCCCAAAGTTCCAACTTCACTCACTCTCCTCACTCCACACTCAACTTCCTCTTTCCCCCACTACTAAAACTACCATGGAAAGTTACAGAAGATCTCCATTGAAGCCATGGAAGAAAGGCCCAACTCGAGGCAAAGGCGGCCCCCAGAATGCTTCATGCCAATACCGTGGAGTCAGGCAGAGAACATGGGGTAAGTGGGTGGCTGAAATAAGAGAACCCAAGAAGAGAACTAGACTCTGGTTGGGTTCTTTTGCAACAGCTGAAGAAGCTGCCATGGCCTATGATGAGGCTGCGAGGCGATTGTATGGTCCAGATGCTTACCTCAATCTTCCACACCTTCAACCCAACTCCAATCCTCCAAACAAACTGCAGAAGTTCAAATGGATTCCTTCCAAGAACTTCATCTCAATGTTTCCCTCTTGTGGATTGCTTAACATAAATGCTCAACCTAGTGTTCATGTTATTCATCAGAGGCTCCAAGAACTTAAGAAGAATGGGGTTTTAAATCAGACTGGTTCTTCTAGCTCATCTTCCTGTGAATCAAAAACTGACATTCAGATTATAAACGATGAAACCCCCGCAGATGATCCTCAAATGAAGGAGAAGGATGTTGAAATTTCATCAGAGAAAATGACGGGAGCTTATGAGGATAAACCACAGATTGATCTACATGAGTTCCTTCAGCAACTAGGAATACTGAGAGAAGAAAAGCAGTCTGAAGGAGCTGAAACTACAGAGAGTTTAACAGCAACAGATTCTTCAATAAAAGATTATGATGAAGTAGCTGTCTTTGCAGAGAATAGCTTCAATTGGGATGCTATGATCGAGATGCATGGAGTTGCTGATTACCAAGGAGCAGAGGCCAGCTTCCAAGTTCATGATACTCAAGAAGAGCTTACGTTTCCTACTTCTATTTGGAATTTCTAAGAAGACTTGTCAATGTCGGAAGAAAGGACCTAGCTTCTCTATAGATTGTTATCCTTTTTCAGTTGGCATCTGAGCTATGATACAGATTTGATGCTAGTTCTAGAACTGTTTTGAGGTTGTAATGATATTCGATATATAGATGCATTTCTATCCATTGCTGGCAGAAGAGATCATACAAAACAATAGTTTGGAATTTGAGTGACAACCAGAGAGTGAAAGAGAGGCAATCGAGTTTAATGGCAAGAGGATTCTTGCGACCTGAAGGGAGGTAGAAGTTCATTATTTTATTTATAGTGGTGGGAAAGTTGTTTTCCACCAATGTGTGATATGAACTGGTAGAGTTTACTTTAGTCACCTTCACAACATAGGACTAGTTTCCTTTTCTGCATCTCTGCTTTCTTTCAAACTCGTAGAGGATTCCCAGAGACCATAAGTTAATACCATCAAAAGTTTCAGCATCTAGCATACCATTGGTAGAAGAAGATTAAGGTGGTCAAACAGTGCAGTTAGTGGGGCTCATTTACGGGATCAACAACTAATTAAGACAATAGGAAAAACTAATACAGTACCTCGACATCAAGGTACTTAAGTACTCATCAAATAATACTGCATAAATAATTAAGACACTAAGAGTACCTGGAAATCAAGTTATCTAGGCACTCATCAAATAAAACTGTAGCTCATAAATCTGCCAAGCAATAGCACCCAGTGAAAGGAAGTGAATAGCGCACGGGCTATGCATTGTAGGTCAAATTCACTATTTTTGAAAATGCGGAAGCTTTGTGATGAAGAATTTTGTGCGGGGCTTGAGACATTTCTGTCATAAATGATGAAAAATAACCTTTTCCTTTATATCCATGTGTTAATGAGGAGGTTCAAGCACCAATTATAAATCTTCTCCAGAATCCAAATCACTGGCTTGCGCGCATCATTCGACACCATATTCTTCTTGTGACAATCAAAGATTTCTATATCTAACCGATCTAGCTGCAAGCCTATGACTTCCCAAAACCATTAAATCTGGAAAAGTGCTTTGTTATTATCTATCAAGATTCTGATGTCCATACAACAGTCATTCAACCTAAGCTCAACTTGTTCGATACTAGCATGAGACAAAACAGGGACGATCAAGATGTCTCTATCAGGTCACTTTATTTTTTATTTTGCAAACATAACAAACATAGACAAGATAAATGTATAGAACATAAGAATACTAATTTTTTCTTCTCCAAATACTAGTAAGAGATTCAAAGAATGACAACCCAAAGCCAACAGATTGAAATACCCTCATAATGTGATAAGACTACTGCTCCCCTGGGATCTTCACTCATTCATTACAGTACTCAGAAGCACTTAGATACTCACCATGCTCCTCAAAATACTCAACCAGTCGCTTTAAGAATCCATCACTATTTACTGTTTCAGTGTCACATACAAGACAACACTGTCTTCTTGCTCGTGTCACAGCCACATTCATTCGCCTACAGTCACTTAAAAACCCAACCTGAAACGGTTTGAGAATTATATGAAGGTCAACTATATCGTAAATCATAACTTTAACACCAAGACTTCTATATATTCTGGAGTCAATTAACAATGATGACAGATGCTTACAATACCTCTTTCTTTGAGTTTGATCGAACCATTGAAATAATAATTGCTTCCTTCTCCCGACCTTGGAAACCATCAACAGTTGAGATTTCCATGTCCTTTAGCTTATCTTCATTGCTTTTCAAAGTCTTCAGCAGGACCACCTGCAAAATCATCCATGGATTTAAGAGTTTGTACATAGAATTAAAGGGTACAGGTTCAGTAGAGTGATTCGGTCTTTCAATGTTTTAATCAAGTTGTGAAGCCCACAGAAATGCGACAAGTGACCACTTCATGGCAAAATCTTTTATACCTGTGCAGCATAAGGAGTAATAATTCCAATATCAGAAGCATGGACTCCACTCTGAACAAGTCTCTTCGCATGTGAAATAGCAACCTCGGCTTCACCCTCGTTCAATGTGCTCTCTTCCTCATCCTTCTTCTCTTCCATATCGCACCTGTAGCAAATTCAAATTAGTCATATATGCTTTCCACGTCATTTAAGATGTTTCTTGTGGTAGATTCAAATTGATTCCTTATTTTCACACATTTATCTTAAAACTTTAATCAACATTTGGTCTCACTTTTGTTAATTTTAAGAAACCAAATATTCAATTTATTTCACTAAAAGTAGGTTAAATACAATACAAATGAAAGGGTGTGACTCCATTTCTTGTAGTTGTCCAGAAAACGGTCAAAAAGAAGAAGAACAAAAGGTCAAATCTAAAACACACATGCTGCTAACCAAATTTCCAAAATAAGCTGCTTACCCAGCTATGTCTATAAGAAGAATAGTTGGTTCAGAAGAGGAAGAGGAAGTCAAATCTAAAACACACAAGCTCCTAACCAAATATCAACAATAAACTGCTTACCCAGCTATGTCTATAAGAAGAAGGGTGGGTTCTGTCGAAGACAACCTCTTAACATTCTCAAGATCAAAGAGCATGTGTGCAGCAACACTTGGATGGGCTTCAATCTGCAATAATTATGTAACTGCCATTACCCTTCAGCACACCAAAGCCAAAGGAAAAAGATTTTAATTTTGAATTTATTAGCCAACAATTTGAATATGTAAGCAAGAATACAGCTAAAATCTTATAACCTTGCTGTTGTAAAGCTCTTTAGATGACCAGTTCATAATAAGCTCATGCATGCGGTACTGGACAGTGAGCATGGATGTGACTTTATCTCCATACAGATCTGCAAGGCGTTCAAAGAGGGTTCTTCCTAACCCTTTCCTCTCAGCTTCAACACTCTGGATAGTTGGAGGAAGCTGAAGATGGTCACCTGCAAGTATACATCTTGAACCCTGAAAACAATGATTGTGGATCCTTAGTTGGGATTGCAATTTGTTGTTGCTATACATGCTAGGTTGATGCTCTACCATGGAATCTTAAACATCAATTTTCATTTAAAACCATTGAAGAAGAAACATGCATCCTGGAGCCTAGAAGAAGGCAGGTTTTACATTTATAAGTCTTTGAGAACCATATTTTAAGCACAGCAGAATAACTACGTATAATAAGCAGGTAAAAAAGCGAGTTCTTAAACACATATTTCTGCATGTATCTAAACTGTATAAAATGTTAGTTCATATCAGTTTTCATTTTTATATGAATGCACATATCTATGTTCAATAAATTATTACCTTTAGTAGAGCCATCCAGCATGCTATCTCAAGTGCCTGAGCAGCTTCATCAATTATAACCAAATCAAATGTAGTGTTGTCTAGTTTGCGAGAAAATGCACCAGTCAACGTTGTCAATATGACATCAGCATTCTTAATAACATCAGTCACAGCAAGCTGCTGCCTTTTACGTTCTTCTTTTGAAAGAGTCCTAAGCTCCTTCTGGATATCTCTCCTTGTATTTCTGTCTTTGGTTTTCAATAATTTGCCATTTAGTGCCTGAAGCAATGAAGTGGAGTACGCTGAAGAATATAATAAAACTAAATTCCTTCTGTTTTACAACAATAAAACAATCATCTTGCTTTAACAAATCAAGAGATTAGGTTGTAATGTCAAAAATGAACTCAGTATGCAGGTATGTTTTATAGAAAAATGTGCTCATGTCAATAGTAAACTATTCAGATATAATATATTACCATATCATTTCAGATGAAAAAACTTAATAGCTAGACAAAGCTCACAGGTATAGCATCATTTTTCAGTGGATTAATTTTACTATAGCAATCTGAAAGTTCTTTCTGTTGTGTGTGTGTGTGTGTGCGCGCGTGGTGGGGGGGTTTGTACAACTGAGACTTCAAATTCTAACATATACGTATACCTTCATTTCCTTTCGAATATCATTTGCAAGAGAGCTATTATCCCCTCGTAGAACCTAACAGAAAAAACAACCAAATATATAAGCACACCTCTGATTTAAACAAGAGATAACCTCAAATCTAGTAACACATGCAGAAAGGAAAAGTTTGCATCCACTTGAAAAGGCTAAAAGTTTTAGAAAACAAAGTAACCATATTCAGAAGTAGATGACATCAAACACTTTGTGAATAGCCACTCAGATAAAGTGGCGGTACAAAACCTGCATCCATTTCTCAGCAAATAGAATAGTGGTAGGATATTTCTTCCCTATAAAAATTAAGAATGACCAAATGACAAAAGATCCTTAAAATCATTTTCCCAGAAGCGTTTTTGGTATCCTTTCAACAGATGAACAAAAGCATAGAACCATAGTAAAAGCAGTAACACAAATATGTGATAAATTGGATTGGGATAGCATTCAGATATGTGCCTGAAACTGAAACCAACTATTATTAATACACAAATTTCTTGTGATTTTATTTAAAAAATACATTCAAATTTCCTACTTTAGTTCTTATCCCTTTCAAAAACTAAGGCTTACCTGCACATCAAGTGCACTGTCCAAAACTTGAGGTAGTAAACGTGCAGGATGCCCCAGTCTCACCAGCTTGACTCTGATAAAAGAAACAGAAACAAAATTGAGGAATACTAAGCCATCTTAAAAGATCTTACATTTTAAGTGTTAACAGTAATCATATGAAAGGAACTGAAAATAAAACTGAGGCAGTATAACTGGTACATCAAATAGTGGTCAAAATATCTTTACAGCATCTTACATGCTAATTTAACTACTTAACTATGATTCCCTGAGAAAGATAAAAGCATAATTGTCAACAGTTTGCGGGTTTGGGAAGACTTGTTTGGTTGAAAACATTCATAGCTATTATTATTTATTAGTAAGAACCTTTTCCCAGAACTGAAAGAGTGAAGAAACTTTGCACCTAGTTTAGTTAAATAAACAGCCAACACAAGTATGAGCATGCATATATATATTTGACAATGCTTTATTAGATAAAAGAGGACTCCCTGGGATTAATTAAGTCATGTTGTTTCAATGCCTACCAACCAATTGCTCTACTGTGTTCAGTACTCTAACAAAATTTATTCAACCACAGACAATTCAGTATAAGAATTCCTTTTGTAACTCAGCTAAACAAATCCTACCAATTGAAAAAATTATGGAAAATGAAACCTGCCAAAAACTGTTAACTTCAACAGAACCGCAGAAAGCATTAAAAATGGTTCTTTTCCGCTCAAGAAACCATTAGTACGTTTGCATGCATAACAGCATAAGGTCCCCAAAGAGAAAACCATGCAGGTTAGAGACAAAAGTAAACCAGGAAAGTCTCCTTTACTAGCTCAGGCAGAAGTATCATTTCCCAACATATTAAGTCCCAGTGTACCTGTGAGGAGCAAGTCGCTCAACAATGTTGTCAACAGCAATATTTGAAGCAGCACAGGCGAGGATCTTTGATCCTCGCTTCACTTCTTGTAAGATAATTTCCACAACTGTTGTAGTTTTTCCAGTTCCAGGAGGCCCATGCAGTAAAAATACATCCTTTGATGACAGTGCCTTTAAAATGGCATCTTTCTTGACCCATAAAAAGGAAAATAAATAAATTACGGCAGGGAAAAAGAACCTTAGTTTCTAGGAATGTAGGATCCATGAAACCTATAAATTGGATATATTACAAAAAATATTGCATAAGAATGTCAGTTATATGGGTTTATAAGCATGGTGATGGTCACAATACTATATAATAGTTTGTAGATACTTTACATCAACGTCCAAGGAAGATGATTTGTTACCATCAAATGACACATGACAGAGGAAATAAGAGGAAACCATCAAATGCTTTAGGATGTACATATACTTCTAAAGCTACTATTAGGAAGAGCATGGCAATAACTATTTTTTTTTTTACTTCATGCTGATTGAACTTAATAAAATCTGACAGAATAAATTTTTTATTACTCAAAATTACGAAAACAGAAAAAGTATGATACATGACAAAGGAAAAAAAAGGACACCATCAAATGCTTTAGGATGTAAATATACTTTGATGCCAATATATTCATAGTGCCACTAAAATAGCTTTTAACCACAACATCTCCATTCCCTTCCCAGCCAGAGAGAGAGAGAAGCGGAAAAAGAAAACAAAGGCAAAGGAAGAAATAATAAGCTATTTGAAAAGCTAAAACACTGTGAATCCGTACATCACCTGAGAATGATCAAGGCTGGAGTTAAAGGGGGTGAATGTGACACCCTTCTTTGATACTGTTGGCAGTCTCTCTCCGAACAATACAGGAACTAGATCTGCAGCAGGTCCCTTCAGCACACCTTTACTCAATTGTATCAAGGCATCCTTCATCCTACGATATGTCACCTGCACAGGCAATTAACTTGTGTAATGCTCTGTTTCTGATAAGCTTAAATCTATAAAACATAGTCAACGTAATGAAAGTACCAATTCCAGAATAATTGCCATATTTTATATTTTATATTAATTCCACAGTTTCAATTTAGTTTAGACATTGTCTTTAAGATTAGACATTTATAGTCAAAATGAACACTATAAATTAAAGTTGTTCTAGATGATTCCTGAGGTCAACCACAATGAACTTTTAAAAAAACATAAAAAGATGAAAAGTGATTTGAAATGCATATGGAAAGGTCATGTCCACCTAATAATAAAAAATAAATAAACTATTGTCTACACAGAGTAACAGAAGCCAACATGAAAAACCTAGAAGCAACTGAGAATTCTGAATAGCAAACCTCATTTGCCACTTTCTCGAGACGCAAGGGACTGTTTAAACCATCTTCTGGGACGTCGTCAAAAGCAACAGTAATTGAGGAATCCTGTTTAATGTGAACACAAATCAGTGGTGCAAGAATTTAAGTGAGGACCATGCATGACTACAAACAGCAAAATCTATAAAGTAAACACCCAACAGTCGATCAATAATAAAGTCACAATACCTTCAACCGGTAAACTACACCTTGTCCAAGAGCAGAAGAACCTATATCAGCCTTGTTTGGTTTTAGAACAACTACATCATGGGTTCCAAGCTGCATCACAAGGGGGGAAAAACATAAGGTCATATAAAGAAACAAACATGCATTTCAAAACAAGAAATAAATATACTTGCCCCTTTATTGTCAATAAATGGGACATCTATTAGTAATCATTTGCAAGTAGCACCAGCTAACAGATAATTTATGCAAGTTTCTCTTAACTGGAACATGAAAATAAGCTAGGTCATCTTTACAGTTTTTACTTTGTGTTAGAAGTTTAATCAACCATCAACTAATGCAGGTAAATCTATGCCATTTCTCATTTACATCAATTACTTATTTCAATGCTTTTAAGTAAATAAATTAGAGCATTTTGAGCCAAAGTCATGTTTTTGACAACATTACTCCAATAGTGAAGTAAGCCAAATAACTGTTAGAAACTGTTAGAATCCAGCATTATAGAAGGCTCAAAGAAAACCAAAAGAGTGTCATGCATATAATAGAAACAATTAAAAAACCTTACAAGGTATTGCAATTTCAAAAATTACTAAGAAAATCTTACACTGAAAAGCAAAGAATAATTAACTAAAAAAAATGCTTTCCTCACTACAATTCACGATCTAGTCTACAGTAGACCAGTATTATGGAAGAACAAATGTAGCACCTGAAAACCCAAAATTTGCAAGCTCTACTACTTTGAGAATCCTTACCTTGTGAGCAGGAAGAACATCTCCTTTGGTGGATTGGAACTCAAGTAGAGATTTCCCCATTAGCCCTGTCTATTTGCAAAATGAAAAGCAGAATGAATTACAAGAAACCCAAAGTTATTAGTAATACTTAATTTTGAGCTTGTTCCTTTAAACAAAACCAAAAATTTGGTTCCCTTTTCCCCTGCCTTCTATTCTTCATAAACACCAAACAATGCTAATTAAAAGCAGTACAAAGACCATCTAAAAAGCTAAGAAAATAATACAACCTGAGCATCTACACACTTCAAATTTAGAATTGTGGAGCCTCTCTTTTGAGCAGTATCCAAATTTCTTGATGCTCCAGAACTGATAGAAGCCGATATCTCAGCTTCCTGAAGCACATAAACAAAAATTTCATTTCAAAAGTTTGCAATGAAAAATAATCAACTAATAGAAATATCAAAAATATTATCTGTTACATCTAAATCACCAATTCAGGAATGCTAGAACAGCGTCTCAGCATTCATGTATGAAAATTTCTTCACTTCGGTGCTATTTGATGATTGAAAGGTGATTTAGAGAAACGCCCATTTCTTGGTTTGAGATAATAATGACATACAATTGATATCAGACGCATTCAATAATTCTTTTTTTTATTAAGAATCAATGGAAAAATGTAAAGATAATTATATATATATATGCACAGAGAAAGAATCAAAGAGAGAACCTTCTCCAAATCAATTAAAGGGGTCATGGTGGAGATGAATTGTTGTAGAGAGATTGGAGATGATTTCTTCTTCTTTTCTCCCTCCATCGCCATTGTTACTTCTTTGTTATAGCTACTGTTGAGAGAGAGAGTGAACCTTCCTAGAGAAGCTGGGTTTTCCGAGAGGTTTATCAATCTTCCTTTTCACTGTTTCAATTTCAATTTT